GAGCAGAATGCAGTAGGAGGGAGGAGAAAGGGATGGGCAGGTGTTAGTGGTGGATGGAGAGCAGAGAGTGGACTTTGGGGCAGGGAACAGTGGGTGTCTGCTCAGGACAGACAAACGGACAGACAGATATGCATGCATACTTGTCCCCACCTGGGGCTTTTGTGACACTACTTAGCAGAAGGAGCTGTTTCCATGGGGACACAAAGCTTGCTTCTAAGCAGAGTGGACTGTCCACTCCTAACAAACAGGCAGTGTGAGGCTGGGGTGAGGCAGAAGCAGAATCCTTCCATGCTAAAGCAAGGGACTTAGGGGCATCAGGGAGGAAGTCTAGCAGTTTCCACTCACACTTTCATCCTTTGGAACTTGGTCCCCCAAAAAGCCCCCTGACACTCTTGGTCCAACCTGGGCACATTCATGAGTTGTTGGTTGTGTCAGTAACATGCTGTCAGGAACAGTAGCCCTCGACATGAACCCCCGAATCTCTGCTGTGTGAGTCTGGCATCTCATGGGTCCTTCAATCTCAGAGTTACTTTGGCATCCACAGCTGCCCCTTTGGGACCTGCTCAAAGTGAGATCTCCTCTATGGACCTTAAGATGCTCTACCTTGGGGTTCAGATGAGGTCTAGTCTGCCCAGGCCTAGGGGAATTCCTACTTCTATTTCCAGAAAGGCTGGAAGTCAGGCTTTCCCCCATCCTAGATAGCTACATGCTTTTTGGAGCCACAAGAAGTGACATCAGTTTAAATGACCTGCCAAAGGGGCACCTGATATCCCAGGGGGGCTGTCTACCATGCACTGTCCCATTGACAATCACCTAAGTGTCCTCCTATAGATGCAGACATGGGAAGTTCTTCCTTGCTAGAGGACACCCAGAAGACTCATAGACTTGAGTGGCTTCATGTGCCTCAAGTAAAGCTTCTGGTTGTCCAGCCTGCTCTCCTCTCTGCAGTCCTAGGAGCTCTCATGGTCTCCCCTGTAGTCTCCCTGTCCTTCTCATGGCTGGACCACTTCTCTTTCCTAGCTACCTTGTCATCTCTGTTCAGCTCCTTGCCTAATCTTGAATTACTCAGGGAAAGCACCACACCTACTCCAGCTGAGCTGAACCCCTTCTCCCTGTGCCCAGCTTCTCCCACATCCTTCTTTTGTAATTATTGTGGCTGGAGTCCTATTTTTAAGGCGCTTTGATGGATGACATTCTCCCTGCTGGGATGCAGCTTTCCTGGGGATATAGAGTGGTGGCCTTCTTGCTCACCACGGCACCCAAAAGGCTGGTGCAACTGCCTGGCACATGTCGTGTGCTCAGGAGCTGCTGGGTAAGTAGATAATAAGATGTTCCATTCTTCTTTCTGTCCCCACAAAGCTAGACTCTAGGGTGTCAGCCCATCATTGGGGAGGAAGGTGCACTATCATCTATAGATGTGACTCCCACACCTGGAGCCATGGAGATCTCCAGAAGATAACTTCAGGCTGCCCCAGATTCTTGCTTAATAGTGATGATATATGTTGTTTTGTCCTCTACAATATCATGTACCTACAGGTCCCAAATGGCAGGGATGGCAAACTGAAGCATACAAGGTCCAACCATTTGCAATCAGCCATGCTCCTTCCATCCTTCCCATACTGAGGACTAGCTACTAAACTATAGTTAGGGCTGTGGAGAGGGTTCCAAGGTCAAAGCACTTGCCAAATGTGTGGAGACTCAGTTCAGTTCCCTAACCTATGTAAATGCTGGTTGGGTGTAGCAGCTCCCTATAATTCCAGGGCTCAGAAGGTGGAGGCTGGAGATCCTTGGAAGGAGCTAGCTGGTGAGACTGGCTGTGTCAGCAAGCTCTGGGTTCAGTTGAGAGACTACCCAGCAAATAAGCAGGAGAATGAAAGAGGATGACTCCCAATATGAACCTTGGGCCAGCACACACATACATGCCCATCCCCCATTCGTGCCCAAACACGTGAGAACACGCATACACATATGCACACTAAACACACATACACATAAGAAGAATAAAAAGAATTATGGTAGCATATGTTAATAGCAATTGCAGCAAGTTAGGTGTCATGGCACAGTGATCCTAACACTTGGGAGATGGAGGCAGGATTGTGAGCTGGGGCCATCCTGGGCCATATTAGTGAGACCTTATCACTACAAACGGGGACACAGCCAACAATCAGTTGCCTGATTCCAGAGTTTGTACTTTTTTTTTGCCTCTGCCAAACAAGACAAAGCCAAAAATGCCTTTTGCAAAATGTGCTTACAGAATATGCTCATTATCTCACCCCCTTCTAATATTAGGAGTCAAACTGCAAATGGCCCCACCCAGAGCATATTTGCATAGTGTCGAGTTCATGATGCTGTGCTGTATTCTGTAGATGATGACTGTGAGGTAAACTTCTCAAGCTTAGCTAAGAGATGGTGACCCTATAGTCCTTTTCCTGAATACAGATAGTTCCTCTGCTCTGGCTGCCAGGAAGCTTGGAGATAACTTTTATGGCTTATGTCAGCCATTTCTGCCTACCTGTTTATTCCACTTTGTGACTTAGATTTTTACCACCCAGATTTTTTTCCACTTCATTTCTTTCTCTTGGGTATCAGGTTGATCTGGACTTACTTATAAGGTGCCCCAAAGCCTTTCTTGAACAATGCAGGGCCTCCAACCTTATCATTTAAACAGGGGATCCCTTACCTTGCAAACTTCTCTTCATCTAGACTTGACCTGCCCACTGCTACCTCTTTCTCTTTCCCTAGTCATACCCCTAAATTAGCATCTCACTAAAAGTGTGTACTTTGCAGAAACTCGTCCTAGAATTGGTGCGTTGGCATTCCTGAAACAACAGGGCCTACTTTCCCCAAGAACAAACTCAGGAGACAGAACTCCATCATGGCTTCTCACTTCACTAAAATGAGGCTCCTCCCAACCAGTCAAAAAAGATTGTTTTGATTTTTAGTTTCTAAAGGTTTATTTTTAAAATACTAGGCATTCGAAATATACTGCATATGTGTTCTCAGTGCTCAATTTTCTCATCAAGATTGAGAAACTTCCCCAGGTAATAACATGTGATAGTCTGAACATTATTGAGTCTCCTCCCTTCTGACAGGTCACTCTGGTTTTCCTTTAAGAAATGATACTTTATTGACTTGGGGGCAGTCTAAGGATTGCTGATGAAGGTCCTGATCTCTCAGAGAGGTCACCAGCCCAGTCAAATGCCCTCTCCCTGGACAGTGGCTGGTAGCATGTTGCCCCACGGACTCAACGTGTTTCCTAAAGACAGAGATGCTGCCCACTGCCTCCTGCTGCCCAGACCCTCAAAGATGCCCTGCTATGAGTCCTTTGCAGCTTAGTTCTTTAGTATCTAATTTGTTTCTCTGATGTGAACAGCCTGTCAATCAATTCCATTCTTGTTTCAGATAGTCAACTTGGATTCTGCTGTTTACAACTCAAAGAAATACATACATATTTTCCAGGAGCAATTCACCAACATTGTATTTAAGGTCTCTGTGGTGGTTCAGATAGGAATGACTCTCATAGGCACAAATATTTGATGGCTTGGTCATTAGAGAGTGGCACTATTTGAGAAGCAATCGGAGGTGTGGCCTTGTTGGAGTGGGTGTGGCCTTGTTTGAGGAAGTGTGTCACTGGGGTGGGCCTTGGGATTTCAAATGCTTGATCTGAGCCCAGTGTCTTTCTCTCTTCCTGTGGTCTGCCAACCCAGATAATAGAACTTGCAACTACTTCTCCAGCACCATGTCTGCCTATGCACGTCATGCTTCCAACCATGACAATAAGGGACTAAACCTCTGAACTGTAAGCCAGCCCCCAATGCAATGCTTTCCTTTATAAGAGTTTTCATGGTCATGGTGTCACTTCACAGCAATAGAACATTAACTAAGACAGTCTCTTTTATTCTCTAACAATCTGTGATTCTGGTAATATCACAAAACATAATATAGGGCATGTAAATTAAGATTTGGGAGAAGAACAAAGAAAACTCAAAAGCTATAGAAAGAGGGAAATTAAAGTATTGAGGTTGACTAAATTGTTTTCAAACAAATGTCCATTCTATCATTTCTATCTCAGTGAGAAAAATTGACTTTTCTAGTCATTCATGTTGAGCTTGACCGCGGGCTCTGCTCTGTACTGACCTGGCACACTGTGTTATCAGAGTGAGACAGTTTGTTTAATTTTTCTGAGTTCATTTTTTCTTTTGTTTTGAAATAAGGTATTACCTTGAAGTTCAGGATTGCCTGAAATTCACTATGTATCCCAGGCAGGCCTCATATTCACAGCAATTCTGTCCCCTTTCCCTGGTCTCCCAAGTTCTAGAATTCTAGACATAAGCTAGTATATCCAGTGTGAGCCAGTTCTAAACCCAGGTCTTAGAAATTCTCCATTCTACCCCCGCCTCTATAGGAACATTCAACCTCTGTCATGAGAAGAATGTGTCTGGGGAAGACTATGAATAATATGGAGTCAATCCAAGTCTGGCTTCCATTCTGGAGCTATGCTCAGCCTAGAGAAGCTTAAGGCTAGGGCTATGATAGTGTCCCCAAGGCCCATGAGTTACATAAAGGTTTGCCATGAGCATGTGATGCTATTAGGGCCAGCCTAGTGGGAAGAAGTTAGATCACTAGGCACATGTCCTTGAAGGGGATACTGGGATTCCAGCAGCTTCCTCTGTTTGTTTCCTGGAGGCCATGAGATTAGAAACTCCCTCCACCACTAGTTCTTGCCTTGAACAACAGAGCTAACAAACATGAACTGAAGCTTCCAAAACCATGAGCCAAAATAACCATTTCTTCTTAAGTGAATTTATTTCAGACATCAGTTCGGCTGCCTGCCTGGACAAGGTATAGATGCATCAAAACGAAACAAATGCTTGCAATGAGAATCTCATCGTGTTTCTGTTACACGCCATTCTGAGAGTAGCTCATAGACACAGATCTCCTTTCACTTGAAGTCTACAGTGTCCAGATTCATGCAGCCTGGGCAGAAGTGAGGTGCCTACCTGCCACCCTGACCTGCGTAGAGGCACAAGCTTTGCAGGTGAGCACTTGGAACTCTTCGGCCTGGTACATGGAGTAGTCAGTGCTGGCGATGACCAGGGTGTCTCCAGGCCTCCAGGACTGCACATTGTCTACCAGGTTCAGGATGGTGCTGTTTACATTGGTGTCGATGCTGACTGTGAGCTTGGGCCTCACTGTAACCCAAAACAGGAAGGACTGAGATGCAACCCTTTGCCCTCAGCAAACATGTGGCTGCACACCTCTTCCCCTCCCCTCTGGAAATCGGTAAATGCCAGGTGTGCCCTTCCAAAACCCAAATCACCAGGCTCTCTCCATCGCAGTCTCGGTACTTACGGGTTTTTGAAGTCAACAAAAACCCAACCAAAAAAGACCCATTCATTAGCACTGGGCAGAGGAATTTTCCACTGACTTCTAAGCCGGTGTTCAATGCACTGCCTCACCACACCCACTTTGCCTAAGACGTAAAACAAATATAGACCTTCTCCACTGTTATTTACAGTAGCCCTAAGCCCCACCCCCCAGTCCATCCCTAATGACTGCTTTCTGGAGATGCTGATTCCAGAACAAACCTTTCCAGTCCTTTCTAAGGAAGACTGCCTGGAGAACTGGGTTTGAAATAAATAACAGCACCAGAAGAGGCAAAAAGTCTGTGCTAGCCCTGTACATCAGCACGCTGCATTCTTGGACCACACCACCCCCTTCTAGAGAGGCTTATGACAGGGCAGAGTATTGCCGTCTGCTTCTGACTCCAGGAACTATTTCCAGCAAGGCTGTGATGACCCAATGCAGTCTTCTTCATTAATGCCTAGTAATATGTGCCTACTGGTATAAGAGAAATCCTTACTATCCCAGGATACTCCTGCATTTGTGCCTAGACCACTCAGTGGGGGTAATTATTACACTCTGATGCCCAACATGCTGACCCAGCCATCCCATTGCAGAGTGCATAGCAGCCAGGTCAGAGATCAGAGCACAGTTGCTTTTCTAACCCAACAAGGAGCCAGGATCTGCTTGCTTACCAGGTTTTCCACATAGGAATCGTACTCGGTAGTTGCGGCAGGCTCGGCCCCGGGTGTAGCAAGCAAACCTGTAATCTTGGCCATTTTTGTAGACAACCTCAGTGCTGAGGGCAACTCCATCCATTGTTGTGGCCTGAGAAAGGAATGGAAATTACAGAGTAAGGATACTTTCTTGTGAAGAGGGAAAGCGCTGATTAATGTCCACAATTTATATTTACAAGGCTAAAATGGTCCTCACTGCAAAACTATCTACAATAGCCCAGGGACTATTATCCCAATTTGTCTATTCCAGTTTTGTTAGAAGAAAGACAGTGTTAAGTGTTGGAATGGAGGTGGATTGGCCTGACTTCGGGGAGTTAGCTAAGTTTGTGATCTGGCAGGAGAATAAGTACTGTGCCCTACAGTACTTATTGCTCGTCATTGTGTGTACATTTCCAGAGGCACCCATCACACATGGGCTCTCTTGGAACCCTGATGTGCCCCTTCTTATGACCATCCTACCACCGTGAGTCCATGCAAGGAGCTGTCATTTATCTACCGAGGACTCACCCTGTTCAACCCACAGGTACCCAGTAGGGGTTTTCCATCCCACCAGGAGTCTCGAGTCTCTGTACCCAGGTTCTACACTCAAAGGCTGAGATTTGCTGGGTTGAGGCTGTGGTCAGGGCATCAGGACTTTAAAAGCTGCCCAGGTGATTCTAACAAGTAGGAAAGTCTGGGATCCACTCTCTCAGCTAAAGAGCTAAATGCTTGCAGGGATCTATTGCATCCTCATAGTGGAACTATGAAGTGGATAAGGAAAATGGCTCTCAAAGAAGATGACCACCACAAGGCCAGTAAGTGGCAGAATGAAGCCCAAATTCATTTGGCTTCGAAGACTTCCGCTGTGCCCAGCCTAAATGGTCTTTGTTCAAACGTTCTGTTCACCATTCCACCCACCCACCATTCACCCCTCACTGCATCCTTGAAAGTGAGGTTGAAGTTGACTGGGGATGCCAAGCAAGAAGATACGAGGGCAGGGCACAGTTTAGGAATAGGCTCAAAGGAGGGTGGTTCGTGCCAGCTGGGACTCATCCCAAAGCCAGGGTGTGTCCCTCTACAGACTATGACTGTCATTCAAAGATATGCAATTTAGAAAAGCACTGCGGCCATCTTTGGCACAGAAACCATGGAGACAGGGAGACAGGCTTGGATAAGGGAGAAAAGTGTCACCAATGGGGGCGGGGAGAACTAGACTTTTTACTTTTTAGGAAAGATTATTTGAGCCTAATGGAGCCAGCTTTGTCTTTGGTTTGAAAGGAGGTCTCCCAGCTCTTCCAAGGCACACTCACAGCCATGAGCTCTGTTGCAGCTGAGACAAGGCTGTAAACTTGTCCCTAAGGGAACCCACTAAGGTCCAAAGGAATGGCCACCAAGTTCAAGATCATCGACTGTCAGGCCCTGCTCCTCTGATCTCAGAACACCACAGAGCCAGCTCCATCTTCAGCGGGAGCCCTGTCACACTGACCACAGTAATGGGCCTTGGCTCATTACCCATTGGAACTGGATATTCGTCATGGGACAAAATCCAGTAATGATTTCAAGGGAACTGCTTAATTACCAGCTTTCTCTTTTAATGACCTCAGCTTTGGATAAAAAGAGTAAAAAAAAATCTATCACTGCTAAAAGGCAAGAATCTTTAAAGAAACATTATTATTAATCATGATTATAGATCATAAAATATTTAATAATATATTATCACGGTTACCAGTAAGTTAAAATAATTTTGAACAGGGCATGGTGTCACTTTCCTTTAATCCCTGCATTCAGGAAGCAGAGGCAGGTGGATCTCTTGTCAGCCTGGTCTACATAGTGAGTTCAAGGCCAGCCAGGCTGGTGATTGCCTACCTAAAACCCCTCCCCCAAGTTTTTGAATGAAACTTGTAGAGAGCATTCAGACACCCATGAATGGCATCAGTAAGTCCATGGAACCAGGTTGAGAGGGAACATTTATGACCCCTAGTTTTGCACTGAGCCATGAAGTCAAATAAATTGATGGACATCTATACCCAGACTGTGCATGCAGAACTTGGGCGTGGGGTTTAAAAGGACACTCACTCTGAAGGTGGTATAAGTCCAGAGTCCACCCTGAGGAGACATACCACCCAAAACCTTACACTGTGGGTACTTCACTGCAGACAGCCCAAAGCTGCCAATGACGTGGAGGGGTGCCTTCTCAGCTAACTCAGACCTCTCTGGCTTCCAGAAGAATTTTCCTGGTCACCATCTCTATGCCAGCCACCGTGGAGGTGACACTGACAACACCATTCCTGCTTCTTTTCCATTGCCTTCTCTAGTCCTCTGGAGGCTACACAGGTCTGTCCCACTCTGTCCCCAGAGGACCTGATGATGTCCATGTGGACCAGGTGTCCCAGAGCCCGTGTCAGATGCAGTCCTGGGCAGTGGGGGTGGCAGAGTCATGAAGAGGGCTTACTGAGAGCCCCGAGCCCTGAGGAAGTGGGAGGTGATGGGCAACCATGGGGGCAAAGATGGGCACATGTGAGGATCGTTTGCTTCGATGTACACCCAGTGTGGTGGTCATCGCCTCCTCCAGGTAGGTAGACTCAGAGTGGAGGCCCAGTGAAGGCCCAGTGGATAGAAAGTCTTCTATCCACCTTAGTGGGAAGCAGGGCTGAGGGCATCCTCTTCCTCTGGGCTGAGGGCATGGGCTACACTTCAAATCCTATCTGCCCACTGTGTAGTGTACTCAAGGGCCCAAAGGGCATCACCACAGAAGTGAGCTGTGTGGGCCAAGCAGGCCCCCACAACTGGAGTTCTTTCAGCCATGGCTGAAGAAGCAGGGTGACACTAGGGATGAGGAACTCAGAGGCAGGAGCTGGAGTCTTTGCTTTGAACAGATAGGAACCTTTGCTTCTGTCTCTGAGGTGGGAATAGCATAAATAATGTGCTTCAGAGGAGGGATAGACAGTCATACCATCCGAGTGACAAGAAAAAGCTGTGGCCCACAGAGACTTCTTCAAAGCAAAGCCTTGCGGACTCGCCCGCTGTTGTGAGGATGGTACCTGTATGTCAATGGGTCGATTGCAGATTTTCCCTGGGTAAGCTGCTCGGAGATCTGAAATTTTCTCCCCGCCTTTGCTCTGAGACGCCTTATCATGGTTGAACCACTCCGTCCATTCCACATCTAGACGGAAAGCAGAGACAAGGTCAGGCAGGAACAAGCTCTTACTGACGCTTTCCTTCTGTAAAGGCTCTATCGATTTCTTGTTATTACAAAAGCAATGAGCAATAGAGAAATAGAGGCCTATCTGAAAACCTGTCCCCCAAACCCATCGATACCGTGGCTGCTTCCATGGTCAACACAAGTGATTTAGCACATAAAAAACCTAAATGCCACAGGTCCCTGTGGAGGAGCAACACTTCTGAGAGCTTGCTGACAATTCCTGCATGAGGCTTGATTAATTAAAGACAATTTCAATTGCAGCTTCTTCATTGATGCCTAGTAATATGTCCCTACTGGTATAAGAGAAATCCTTGCTATTCTAGGCCTGGGCTGCTGCTATCAGGTTTTACCAGCCTGTTTCAAACACCTCACCTTGGACCCATTCGCTGGTCGAAGAAACATTGAAATGTTCACCATGCTCTGTCTGGAACAGCTTGAAAACCCTGGCAGCAGCTGAACCTCTGTGACCTGTCAGGGTAGACCAGACACTTGAGTAAGCAGATACTCCATGATGAACCTGACCTTACAGCAGAGAGGAAGCCCCCACACCCATAGACCTTACAGCAGAGAGGAAACCCACCCACACACATAGACCTTTGTTTGATTTGGTTTGGTTTTAATGTTTGATTTGGTTTTTGTTTGTTTGTTTGTTTTGAGATTTGATCTCTGGTAGCCCAGGCTAGCCTTGAATTATGCAGTCAAGGATAACCTTGAATTTATCTTCTTGCCTCCACTTCCCAATTGTAGGGATTTCAGGTGTGCATTACCAAGTTGAGTTCACAGTGGATTTTCATTTTTTTACTCTTGGTTTGCTTGAACCATTTCATTAAGGAATTCTACCCCCAATCAGATTATTGTTGTCATTTGGAAAGAGGTTACATCCATTTTTTCTTCTGTGTTTCAGTTTTTAAGGTTCAATTGCAACTTTTTGACAAATGGACAGTTGAGAGAACCTGTTACTTCTCATGATCTGAGCTCTGCCTTGGGATTAGAACTGGCAGCTCTCAGCTAACCACGTGTGGCCAAGAGGCTACACTGTATGGTAAAGACCCTCTTCATGGATGAAGCTCAGATGATGGAGTGCTTACCTAGCCTGCATAAAGCCCTGGATTTATGCCCAACACCACACAAGCTAATCATGGGGGTGTAGACCTGTAATCTAAAAACTCAGGAGGTAGAGGCAGGAGGATTGGAAGGCCACAGTCATCCTCTGCTATATATTGAAATTGAGGCCATTCTAGGTTACATGAGACATTGTCTGAAAAAAACACACAACAACAAAACCTTATTATGGCATCTGTCCATACTGTTCCTCTGGAGATCTCCTAGCTCTTAGCTTTTCTTTGTCAGGCAATACTTCTTTGGAGATGTTAAAATTCTAGGGTGAGATCTACTTTCCTCCAGCATGGACCTTTGTCACTCACTGCCTCATTATGTAGTGACTAAAGTGCCTAGACTCTCATCTGGGACCTTGCCAATGGGCAGCTGTGTTCTTAGAGTAGACAGTCACTCACAACCCACAGCCTCTGGTCAGGGAGACAGTGGAGGGGACCAGGCCTCTCACCAACCATTCATTACCATGGTATTCAATGTGGTCTTCAACTGAAGAAGAAGGATTTCCTTTCACAGTGATGAAGCTCCAAGGGTGTCTAAACAAACAAACAAACAAAAAACCCAGAAAGTCACGTTTTCCATACATTGGAGCCTGCTCTTGGCCTGGCAGAGTGAAGACAGGGTCCCATAGGAGAGTCTCCCGAGCTGCTGGAGGAATTTATCATCCACCCATAGGTTTCCTTTCCCCACAAAACAAGAGCCTTTGCAAGCACAAGGGCGCCTACTTCCTCACTAGCCAGCTAGCCTGGGCATCTGCTCCCTGGAAACGGTTTGACTCAATGCTGGCAAAGAATGGGTATGAATCACAATTAAACAAACATGCCAACAACCTAACCATGCTACCTGCCAAGCCCAATTAGATTCTACAGGGCATATTGGAATGGTGTTCCAACAGAGGTGATTCCACTCATGTCCACTGCCTCCAAGAGATTAGGAAGATGGCACAGGATATTGTGACTGGCCACGTAGCCACCTGCCTTGGGCCTTAGAAAGGAATGAAGTGTGTTGGCCTGATAATGAGGAAGGAAGGAGAGAAAGGCTTGTGAATTGGAAAAGTCATGTGCCCCTGTCTCTTCGAGAGTGTGTACTGCTCACAGGCAGCTTTTCTTGGTAGTTTTTGTCTTCCTAGCATGTTGCAGGCAGTAGCTAGGGTAAGGGCTGAAATACATCACCCTGGCCTGTTGAGCATCTATACTGAAGGGAATTGAGAAGTAGCAGAAATGACTCTCCAATCTTTCTCCCTGAAGTGAGTCTGAAGCCCTCATCCCCATGAGAGAGGTGAATGAAGAGGGATTCTGGGAAGAACTCCAACTCTGCTCGCTACAGTTGGTTTATTCGAGAAAGACTCATCAGATTTTCTCATTTATTCTCTACACTTCGTGAAACTTAGTACAAAAATACTCAGGTTGAACTATTTGAATTCTTATGGCTTCCGTTTCTCTAGGAAGATCCTGCATCACATAAAACTTAATACAGTGAAACCTGCTGCCTTTCTTCTGAGAAGCAGGCTTTTGTTGAAGACTCTCCCATATCCTATGAGTGCAGCAAATATCTCCTTATGACAAAGCAAAGGATCTTGGTATACTGAGTAGCTTTTGATTTTGCTTGGACCTCTTGTCTTGGGGAGTCGCTACTGATGGTGTTCAGGCTGAACACCATCTTACTTAAATCATTCACTGGCTCTCCATTGTCTTTGGAGCTCATCAGCACAGAGCCATTGACCCTCCAATGCCAACCTTGCAGCCTTGTCTCTCATATATATGACTGCTCAGTCTTCCCTCATTCCTTGTGAGAGTCACAAACTCACTCTCTACAGCCACTGGCTTCACAGCGCTGTCTTGGCCTCTTCCCAGCTGTGATCCTATGCTCAATTCCCCTTGCCCACTATCTTGCTCCATCTGCTCATGCAAGCTCAGCAGACCCAGCCCAGTGAGCCCCACCAATACCTTCCACTTCCTGAACAAACAAATGAAGGGTCCCATTCCCAGCACATCTACTGATTTCAGATGCTCAGCTCTTGTCACTCAAACATACAAAAGAGGGGGTAACTGTGATTCCTGCTTGTTTTGGCCAGGATGAAATGTGGAGGTCCCCACCATTCCAATGGCTCTTGTTTATAAGCAGAGAACAGTCACTAACAGTGCCAGGCAGAGTGACAACTCTGTTACTCATATCACCCCATGGAACCTCTCCCAACACCCTTTTGAGATAGATCCCAAGATACCCTATTTTACAGATTCGAGAATTAAGGGAGAGGATGAGTCACTTGCCTGTGGTCACACCTCAGAGGCAGTGTTCAAAGGGACTCTGCAGTAGCCAGGCGTTGGGCTACGAGCACCACAGCCTTCTTCTGCTGAGGCCCTTCATAGTCCTCTCTCGCATCGGAAATTAATAAACTGACTTTTTGGTTTATGATGTGGTGAAATGAAGGTGTGCTTGGCATTTGCCGACAAAGGAGTTCTGCCAAGGTATCACTGTCCTATTTGGCTCCTTGGGCTTCCTGTCCCAGTTTCCCTCCTAGAAGCTGCATCCAGAGAATACGCCTGAGACCTGGGGTGTCCCTTCTTGTACAGGGGATCTTTGTCCAGCCAGTTAGATTACTTTGAAGGCTAGAAAAGCCGCTGATCATTCTAAGCTTGTCGATGTCTGAGGAGCTGAAGAATGGGAATCACAGTCTCCAAGAGTCTGGGGCAGATCATCTTAACGTTCACCAAGCTAGCTTACAGGATCAAAAGATGTGGTTTCCCTGTGCCAAAATGACTTCCTGAAGTTGTCAATGTGTGCACATGCCCATATCAAGCAGGGGGCTGCGACCCAAAGCAAGTAGGACACACACTAGAACCTGTCAAAAAGGCTCCCTTTCCTTGGGTGCTTAGCTGAGTAGAGATAGTTTGCATAATCCCTGAAACACTGTCTGCCAGTTCCCAAGGAACAATGTGAACCTTGAATGGCTAAACATGTGTTAGTTGCCCATCAGGGCTCTTACTGCCCCTTTCTCAATTAGGGCACACAGTGCTTAGAAGTAACTGACTGAAGGAGAAATTCATACAGAAACCTGGGCATTGCAATAGTGGGCCATTCCTGTAAGAAAACCCAGGCTTCCTTTGAACACAAGCCCTAACTCCATCCAGTGTGGATGAGCAGTGTGCGTGCATGCCTCTGTCCTGTCATTCAGAGTGATGTGGAGCTGGAGACATATGCCCTGGTTAGTATGGAATGTCTCCATTCATGGAGATACAAGTGATGGGTTGTACCTAAATCCAAGGTGTAGGAAGTGCTTGCTGCCCAGTTTGGTCATTGCCTTCCGGGCTGTGTCATCCAGGTTTCTAGAACCTTCATCATTCACTGCGACAGAAAGGATCCTGCCATCAGGCACAGCATTCAAATACTGGACCAGACGTTCACTCTCTTTCTTGGATCTGTAGGTGTCAAACCTAAAAAGGGTAGAGAGAGTAAAGACGTGGATATTCTTGGTGGCAGTCTAAAGAATACAGAGACCCAAGTACATGTCTGTTTCAGCAGCTGTGATACTGTCCAAAGACCTTGAAGGCCCAAGTCTGTAAACAAAGAAGCCTCTTCAGCGAGAAAGCCAAGAAGGAGGGATTTGATTTAGCTACAGCATTCATTCATTGGGTAAAATAACTACAGTGCTGGAGAGCTTGGATACTGGGATGTGGAATAAGTCACATGCTTGGGGTTCTGACTTTTCATGCTCCCTTTCTTCTGGGAGTTTTCGTAGCTCACATCTCTTGAAAAGGATTAGCACTAGGAGAAGATCCAGACATTTAGAGCAGCAGGGACTCCATCTCTGTTCCAGACCAAAGCAACTCTCCAAAGCCCCTGGAAATGACAGTGTCACGTCATGTTTCCCTCTCTAGGGCAGTTCATGTGCATTTCAGAGCCATTAAACTGTCGCCTCTGATTCATACTGCAGTGGTGATAGACTCTTAACCATTATGAATACTGTTGCATTTCTGCCCTTTTCCCATGCGTTCTCTTTCTAAAAACATTTTACTTTACTATAGTAAGAACTCTACTCAAGAAACTCATTCTTTTAAACAAGTTTTTAAGTTGGTTGATTACAAGAACAATGTTATAGAATTGATCATCTCTAACTACAGGTGTGTGTGGGGGGGTGTATATTTACTTGTACACATTTGTGTTAAATTCAACTTTTCAGGGCAAGTTCCTTAGGAAAGAAGGCACCTCTCCAGAGCAGAGCTCCCCTCTATTCCACTCACACTGCATGCCAGTCCCCATGGAAGCCCCTCCTTCCCAGCTGGGAAGATCCTGAACAAGTGAGTACAGGAATAGGGGACAATCAGCCTTACCGATCAGAATGGATGACTGTGCCTGATTTGGGGTCAATGACATGAACAATGACTCCACGGTGGCCCCAGCTCCTTTCAAAAAAATATCCTCCCTCCTGCATGCCACCAGGACGAAGGGTCTTGTTTAGAAATGTCCAGGAGAGCTTTTTCTGTCCATGCAACTCCAGAGTGCCTCCTTTGCCCACTCCAATGTACTTCAGGCCATAGTAAGGGTCCGGCTGGAGGCCTTCATCAGCCCTGTAAGAGAAAGGCTGTCAGCCAATGTATCTCTGCTAGATGCTGAGCCCCCTGGGGGACTGTCACTGTTCCCAGTCTCCCACTGTGGCCTCAGAGAACCAGCTGCATTTTTGGTGATGACATTAGGTCTGTAGAAAAGCATTAGCAAGCTGACCTTCCCAAAGCAGAGCAACAGTGGGCATACAGGGCAGAAATGCTTACAGATACTGTTCACTGCCACTTTGTTCAATGCTGCTTCTGTCTAAGCCCTTATTGACTGTGGAATCACAGGTACTTTCACTGTGTCCCTGCCTACACTCAAACATGCGTGGCTGTCACTTCTTAGAACTTTTGGTAGCTTAAGGAGGGGTCACAGCCAGAAGGGAAAGCCATGTGGAACTTTCCTGTCTTCTTGTGCATTAGTCTTCTCCAAATGGAAGCATTCTCTCCTGGAGAGTGAAGCAGTGCTCCTAAGACCCAGAAACCTAAGGGAAGTCAGAAGGCTCAGAAGGGGCTCTCCCAATGGATGTATACAAGCAGCTGAGGTAGAGGGGACTCTCCTGTGAAGTTGCCTGCCTGTGGGGTCAGATGCTCTGGGGATGCAGCTTTCATGAGTGGTGGCTTTTAGGTGATGCAGTTACTTTTAGTCACCTATGTTCTTATAAGTAACCCCAGTAAACCTATAGGTTCCCCAAGCTAGAGTTGGGTAGAATTGTTTCTCAGTCTGTCATAGATGCCCTCTCTGGGGTAAACAGATATTCGTTCACACCTTGCTATGAAGCATTGCACACTTGTCCTTTATAGCACTAGTATCTTTTAGATTCTCTCCTGCTATCAGGGACTTCTGTGATTCAACTATTCCATCCGTATTCCATCTATACCATGATGAACAAAGGGCCCGTGGACTCCTGCTCATCCACTTCACCCACGTCTATCTTGTTCATGGCTGTGGTCCAGTGGGCAATGGTGGTTCCTGTCCTCTATAGAAGTCTAGACCTCTCGCCTCCTTCTCCTTTGGAAAACCTCTTTCCCATCATACCCAACAGCAGTGCATGACCCCTGAGCAAGGTCATCCCACCTTCCATAAAGCACAATACTGAAATTGCCCTCAAAAGGGCAAAGGGCACTCCCAGCATGCAGCTCTCCACCGTCATCAATCAGAATGTGCCGGGCACGCAGCACGATGTGCTCATGGTGGTCTTTAATGACAAGTTTGCCTGAAGAGAGAGAATGCGGAGGTCTGAGAAGACAAGAACTTTAAGTAATGCTAGAGCAGAACCCAGAGCAGATTCCCCGAGCCCCATCCCTCTAGGCAGGCAAAAGGGCACATTTTCTCAACACTTCTATGCCCACTCTCTTGCAGAAGTTACTTTTCTTCATCATCTGCCTTGCAAGATATACACAGTGGTCATCTGGTTCGATGCCATTACTCCATATCCTGAGTTTAATCACCAAGCATGTAAAGGAGAGAATAGCAGGCCCCTTTTAAACACTTTTTTCTTCCCAAGATCAGACCTTTGACAAGCCATTTCTCAGTGCTTTGGGTTGATGGTCATCTAAAATCTCCAGGTGCTCTGGCATGAAACCAAAGCTTGGAATGTTTGTTCTGTCTATCTCAGCTCCTGGCCATTTAGATCCCATTTGCAGGGCTCAGGGTGGTGGAATGGACAGGAAATCTTACCTCCCTGTGAGATGGTGATGGAGTGGACTGTGGCGGAAGAGGTGAGCAGGAGACTCCTGCCCTGACCAATATGTACTTGATGGTTTCGGTCATGGCCAGGGGTCCAAGGCTGCAGTTCAGGGTTCTGGTCAGGACATTCAGCTGCCGCTACCAAAAACAATGAAATGTCACCATGAAGACTGACCAGTAAAGGATAATGGGGGGATGGGGAATACTTCATGGCACCCATTTCTTTTTTTTTTCTTTTTTTATTATTTATTTTTAAGTTTAAATTTAGATTAGAAACAAGGTTGCTTCACAAGTCAGTTCCAGGTCCCTCTCCGTTTCCCTCCCCTCCTCCCATGCCCTCCCTCCTACCCCCCCAATATCCCATCATTTCCCCAGGGAGGGTGAGGCCCTCTATGGGGGTGTCCATAGTCTGTCATTTCATCCAGGGCAGGGCCCAGACCCTCCCCCAAGAGTTCAGGGTTAGAGTGCATCTCACATTGTTAGATGGGAGCCCAAAGTCCATGTGTATACTCGGGATGATTACTGATCTACTGCCCAAGGCTCAATAGATTACCTAGGCCTCCTCACTGACACCCCCAGTCAGGGATCTTGATCAGTCCCATGCTGGATTCGCAGGCATCAGCCTGGGATTCAAGAGCTAACCCTTATCAGGTCTGCTGTTTCTGGGGGTGAAACCAGCCCAGTCTTATTCCCTTTGGCTATCAGTCCTCCTTCTCTGTTACTGGCTTTTTTGAGTTCAGCTCAGCATGGCACCCATTTCTTCTCCACCAACATTAAAAGGAAGTCCAGAGAGATGCTCTGATACAGGAGGCAGGTACCCTGGAGTGTGGCCTCACTCTTTTCATGACTTTATCATGTGACTCTGGACAGCTCTCTTCCTTCTCTGATTCAGGTGCCCTTTTTGCAAGATGTGGGACTGTTCTGCCTGGTAGGGATGCCATGCTGTAAGCTCCTCTGAGGGTAATAACTCTTATCACTGGACATGTCCTCTGTAGGCATCTACCAAGTGACACATGTAGCAATATTATAAGAGATACTGGCTCGGCGAGCACAAGTCACTAAGCCAGGACGGTTTCTACACTTGTCCAGGCTAGTCTTATTCTTTCTGTCTTGAGCTGTCACTCCAGGAGCTGAGGAAGAGGCTTTTTGCAGGTTGTGTGGACTTTCCAGGGTAGGGAGCCACCTTCTATTTCTCTAAGGTCAGGCTGCACTTCCTGCCCTCGTGCCCCAAGGTAGTCTAAAGCCAAATGTGGCCAGCAGGCATGTTGCTCTCGAGTGAATCAGAGTAGTTAGCCGGACAGTGAGACTCCTAGATTTTTACAAATTTGTTGAGATCTGCTCCAGGTCTGTGCCATGAAAGATGCAAGAGGGACATCTCTGTCCTAGGAGCTGATGCAAGAGGGACATCTCTGTCCTAGGAGCTGATGCAAGAGGGACATCTCTGTCCTAGGAGCTGATGCAAGAGGGACATCTCTGTCCTAGGAGCTGGACGAACCAGCCTACGGAAAGCAAGGGGAGATCCAGAAACAGAAGCAGGAAGAATGGGTAAATTGCCGTGAGACTGTTCTCACTCAGCAGTTAGATTGTGAGGAGTAAATCAGGAGAATTAAAAGCAACACAGAGTGTCTGGGGAGGCGGAGGTCAGACTTAGGCGAAGCCACGAAGGGAAAGGATTCAGGTGGGGGACCAGGGCAGGTACTGATTGGAAGCAAGCTCCACAGGGCAGGGAAGTTAGAATCGCTGCATCTGGCAGGTAAAGTGGGTACAGGAGCCACATCCACAATGTGGAACCAGAACCAGTTCCAATTCAGTGCCACAGCAGCCAGATCTTTGGGATATTTGGCTGTTCTTCCGATGTGCAGGAAGGAAGTCATAACTGCCATAGTTGGAGACCTGAAGGAGAGTTGGAGGGAGATCTGCCCTTGTCTACACTTAACAGCACCAGACAGGGACTACCTAGGCTTTCACCAAGGCCGTTTTCTTGTGTAGGTGCTGATCCCCACGCCCCACACTCTCACCCAGGTCTGCAGCGGCCACCTTTGGCTCCATCTGCTTCCCTGTTGGTGTGAACTTCACATTTGTGGGGTTTCAGGGCTTCCAGCTCCTGAGGTTCCAATAATAACACAAGGAGCAGATGCAGAGTTCCCTGCTGGCTGGAGAGACGAGCTCTACCAGCCTGTGCACAGGTTGGGCAGCTCCCTGCTCAAGCTGGTGCTCAAAGCTCTAAGAGCTGGGTGCTGGATTGCACATCTAAGTTTATCTCCAAACAGGATAGTCAGGAATCTCTAGTAACCTCTCACCAGCCCTGGGCATGGGTTCAGTGGCAATTCCCGGAGTGTGGAGAACACATGTGGCCACCCGGAGTGCCCGAGAGTACACTGACCTGGTCTCCTGCACCAAGAACCACCTGGGGAGGATGGGTTCCCACTAAGTGAACAGTGCTTCAGGCCTCACTGCCTCACTTCCAAGCCAAGCCCACCATCCTTCCCTGTCCAGGAATACAAGTCTGCAGGCAACTTTGCACCTCGGCCTGGCTCTGGTGGACCTGGTCCTATAGGCTTGCCCTTCACTGGGAACATGAACCCCACTCTCCAGCAGCTCTGAGACTGTGGCTAAGACAGAGCGCTTCCTTTGTAGAAGCTGAGTATTTATACATGTAGACCAGTGAACAGCTGGAAATCATCAGTGCCATCCCTGAGACATCACCATGGCAATCACATTGATTTCTCTGACTAGAGCAGAGATCCCGTGAAGCAGGCTGTAAGGGAATGCAGGCTATAGCTACTTGAAGCATGAATGGCACAGGTGATTTCTACCTCTCTCAAAGAACACAACTAAAGGACACCAGAGAAAGGTACAGCTCCCTTCCAAAGGATTTATACGTAAACTGACATGTTGGAGGAAACACCAGGAAGTATCTGAATACTCCTCTCCAAGTTGAATCACCACAAAAGATAAACCAAATGCAGCTTCTAACCTGGAGGCAGGTTGATTGAGAAGATGCATGAACTCAGACAATGTCGTTAATCATTGCACTGAACATTGATTGACATATTGCCTACTTGCTATGTCACCCAAGAATTGGTACAGTTTTGTAAGAAACCACAGTGGAGGCATTTTATGCTACAGAATGTTTCCTTCCTCCAGTCGGTTGGTAAACCATGTAATTCAATGTGAGGTCCTTTATTATAGAAAAACAAAACTCAACGAATAATAATAATAATAGCATTTTAAGATGAGCATGGTGTTAGCAGTAGTATTATTAAACCCCTGTTTGGTTTCTAAGATTTGTGTCTGTGCTTCCTATGTCCTCCCAAAGGTGCCAGTTATTTAATAGCTATTTTCTGTAGCCTGGCTGAAGTGTCCTGGGCTTCTAATCTTAATTTAAAATCATGTAAATATCACTTGCTTGGCACCACAAGGAAAAAAATACCACAAGATAAAATGAAATCACTTAAAAACAAAGTTGACAATACTGAGAGAGCAAGCTAGATCTGAGTAGGGTGCTGTGGTACACGCCTCTAACCTAGCACTCAGGAGTTCAAGGCAGGCAGATGGCAAGTTTGAAACTAGCCTGGATCATACTGAAGAGAAACTGTCTCGAAAACAAACAACTGGACGTGGTGGTGTATACCTTTGATTCCAGAACTCCAGGGGCAGAAACAGGCGCTTCTATGAGCTTAAAGCCAGCCAGAGCTATCTTGTGAGGTGTGTGTGTGTGTGTGTGTGTGTGTGTGTGTGCAAAACAAACAAAACAACAAAAAAGAAGACACCATCTAATACTTTCTCAGAGCATTGTGGCTGAAAAGATTCCATGGGGCCCAGATCCTGATCTGGTGATACCAAGTGGGAAAGAATGCTGAGCTCTGAAATTGAGTAGCCCAGACAGAGACAGAAAGCTGAATCTCAGTTGGATCCCTCCTTTCCCCTTCGCTTTCCTGGGCAGTTTTTAAATTTGTGCTGTCAGGTAACAAGATTTTCTCTAAACGTACAAATTTCTGGTCTCTTTTAAAAATTCAAAATATCTTACAACAATGTCTCCCCTTCCCAATTGTCCAGCATTGAGAGATGGGTTCTCCGTTAAGTGAATCTCAGCTCCATGGAGGCGGTAGTACCCTCCAAACTAGGTTCTCTTGCAATGGAGCTCAGACAGACGCTGAGCTTGCAACCTGGGGTGATTCTAGGCTAGCCTGTCATTTCCTAAGAATACTTGGGGCAGGATGAGGCTTGCCAGGCCTGGCAACCAAGGTGTTCAATGAGGACCCTTCCCCAGAGACTCCCTGTGATCTCCCTCCCCCAGCAGTCTGCCTGAAACTCACCTGTAGATGCGGCCACTGAGAAGTCAACCCGGAGGAGCCAGCCCATGGCCAGCACAACCGTGAGGGAGACATCATGCCTCCCAGCAGCTCTCAGCCCAACAGCATGCTCCCTGAAATGTAAGTGCCAAGTCAGAAGTGCATCTCCACCATAAGCATGAACAAGAGACATGGAGTCACCCACACAGCCGGGGGACAGGGACATGGCACGAGAGGCACACCCACAGACCCAGCGCGGAGATCTTGAGTAGTTCCTCACCTACCGTGACTCAGGGCCAGGCAGATCTGAACACGCAAACTCGATCACCATTCTGCCCCTGTCCTGTAGCTCTGAGCTAAGTGCTCCTCGAGCTCCCTCCCTTTGAAATCAAGCCGTTCTACCAAAGCTGAGAAACAAGAGGAACTAAAGCTAAATCGGCAATCACAGGCTTGCTGTGTGATCCCAGCTGTGTGTGGATTTCTCTAGATCTGGTGGCCTCATCAGGGATGGGGTAGATGAGCTGATTTTGAAGTTGACATTGTCAGCGTATGCTGCTCATCTGTCTTCTCTCTGTGCAGTAATAGAACATCTGGCTTTCATCTGGGTGCCTGGCCACCTAGGATAGCCAGCACATGCTTCAGTTTCCTTGTGGCCTTCGGATTAAGTTCAACAAATGAAGCAGGTTTTCAGTCAAAGCCCTTAAGGTAAAGGAAAAAGGGCTTCCTTCCTTCCTCCCTTCCTTCCTTCCCTCTGCCTTTCTGCTGGACGGGATGCAGGTAAGGTGACTGGAACTCCATTAATCTCTTGTAGGGTAGGAACCAAGCGCCGAGAATGGCAAAGGAAAGAGAGAAGAGATCTGGGATAGAGCAACTCTGGGTGTCTGGATGATGGATTTATTCTTATGCTAAGGAGGCAATTTAATTTCTATTTTATCAGCCTTGTATTTTTAAAAGATCCACTGTGATTTATTTGTTCTACCTTTTACTCACACAGAAGGTGACTGTATTAAGCTAGATAAGCATCACGGTGAGGATTTTAACAACACGGATAGGGATTTCTTTCTGGTTTTTTTTTTTTTTTTTTTTGTCTTTGTGCTCAGCGATCCCACTTGGGCTTTGGGAGGGGCAGCCCTAGATTCTGAGCTATCTCCCCAGGTCCTTCCCAGTAGACCTGCATTTGTGCCCAGAACAACCAGACATTATCCTGAGACAGTGGCTCCCAGAGGCTCCACCTCTCGGGCCTGCCCAGCAGCTAATCTGATGCCCCTGACCTTAGGCTCAGTGAGGCTCTTTGTGCCAGCTCAGCGAACTGAGGCAGGAAGAGGGGACCTCCTGCACAGGTGGGCTGGGAGGAGGGCTGGAGAGGAAGGAGCAGCTCAGAATCAAAGCTGTGTGTCCTCTCCCAGCACCCTGCCTGACCCAGGCTGGCTCGGCCAAAACAAGAGAGGCACTTGTCTCTGGTATCTGGGAGGCTGTCCCCCCCATGGCTCCCAGGACAGACTGCTGGAGAGGATGAAGAGGGATGGAAGTGAGTGGTGTATCCAGGCCTCAGGGGAGAGACACAGCCCTCTTCTCAGGTCTCAGCTAGCTTAGACAAAACAAAGGCAGCTTGCTGTCAGTTGCCAAAGAGCCTCATAACCTCACTGGGCCACATTCTCCAGGGAAGTTGGACCAGAACACTGGTACCCTTGCTTTGTGGTGGAATCTGGTGGAGCAACATGAGGTATGGGAGAGGGGGTACTCCCTTGGTTGAACTTATGAGGACGTCATACTTCTGCACAGAGCCCAAGTCCTTCTGAGGTCATGTGTCAGAGGTCCTTTTGCTTTGTGGATGGATGTAAAGACTCTTCCACAGAAGGGAGTCATACCCAGCTCCCTTCACTGACATTAGTCCCTTAGCTGTGTACTCGCCAGTGTCTGAGTCACAGGCGGTAAAGAGGTCCCTGTGCCCAGAGCTGCCCCATTGCGGCATACAGCCTTCAAGCATTCCTGAACACAGAGGTTCTTGGGGCCTGGATACAGTCCTGCTGCACTGGATCCTACAGACACCCATGTTTCTCTTAGGAATAGTCCACCTAGAAGGACACTGTTTTCATCTGGTCACTGAAACTTCTTGCAGCAGGGCTGCAATCCAGCTTCTTGATTGGTGAGGCAGGCTTGAAGCAGGCTTTGGCTGTGGAAGGCCTTAGAAGAGCTCACAGGGAATGATGTTGGGGATTTCTGGGGATACCCAGCAGCTGCAGGCCTGCTCACCCTGCACTGGCAAGGCTACAGGGTTTCTAGGACATTGGTGATGATAGTCTCAGCTGGCCTGTCCTCTCAAGGCTGTGGGAACGCTGTCAGCATGTAAGAAGAATCACATGGCTTCCTCAGCAGACTTGCACTCCAGACCATTGCACATCTTCATGGTAACAGGTCAAGTTTCCAGACGTTCAAAGTTCTCAAGTCCAGCTGCAATACCAGCCTTGGAGATGCAGGCATCAACAGAGGAACAGGAGTGTCGGTGGCTGCCAGGTGCAGGGACTTTGTTCATCCGTCCATGGCTGTCCTGGAGTCCCAAGTTATTACCTGTAGAGCAATCAGAGTATTAGAAGATCCAGTGGGGAGCTGGGGAGATGGCTCAGTGGTTAAGAACACTGGTTGCTCTTTCAGTGGACCCAGGTTCAATTTCTAGCACCCACGTGGCAGCTCACAACTGTCTGTAACTCCAGTTCCAGGGGATCTAACACCCTCATACAGACATACATGCAGGCAAAAACACCCGTGTACATGAAATAATTAAAAATAACAACATCCAGTAGTGTCCAGAGCGAGAGTACTCATGAACACACTTGTGTCCTGTGGCTTCCCATCTCCCAGGGATGGACATTCCTGATGCCTCAGAGGCTGCAGAAGACAGAACTTTCCATAGGAAAGAAGGATAAGTAGGGAGAAGGATCCGCTGAAGCTAAGGCTCACCCAGAATGAGCCAGAGCACATTTCTATGAGGAGTCACGCAGGGACTATGTCACCTTCCCTGACTCAGCCAAACCCTGGACAAGACTGAGTCAACAGATGAGCAAGACAACAAGGTGGTCAGGAAAGTGGTTGCCAGAGCCTTCCTTGGGCTCTCTCATTCTTTGAGATTAGAGAAATGAAATGATACAGCATCAAACTGCAGGGCCATTATGCACATCAGAATAGACACACCCCCTGAATTCAGCCCACAAAGCACTGTGTTGAACTGGAGGTCAGCATGGAAGCACCAGGAGCCACTCATAAGCAGGGACACTCAGCCGGTGATAAGAGCCTGGAAGGCGGGGTCTAAAAACCTCAGCTTGAGTTCCTGTTGCAGCTCCCATCAGCTGTGTGGTTTCAAGCAGGTCACTCAGCTTGTCCATGCGTTGGTTTTCTTGTGAAAAGGGGGAGCAGCAATACTTCTCACAACCTGGACTTAAGTTGTGAGAGGTGATTGGGACATAAAGCTTAGAACACACCGGCTCATGAGGCCAGTGAGATGACCAAGCAGGTAAAAGCGCTTGCCACACAAGCCTGCAGTAATAAGGGGGATGGAGATGGAAGCTCACAGGCCAGCTGGCCTGGAATGCACAGACCCAGAGCAGAAACGAGAGAGACTCCATCTCACGGTGGAAGGAGAGAACTGACTCCTGGAAGTTGTTCTCTGACCTTCACACGTGCCCTGCCTGTGGCTGTTGCCTTAACAAGAATGAATAAAACTGGAAAAGGAACAAACAAACCCCCACTAGTTCCCAGGTCCCTTGTGTTTGGATGATGTTCCATGAGAAACATGAGACGGGTGGTCAGGTACACTATTCTACTGCCACGAGGACAGAGTGGAGAGGACTGCCATGCCAAGCAGAAAGCCTTGATCTGCCACCTTGCCAGCCCTTAACCCAGATTCCAGTCTCCAGAACTGTGAGAAAGTGAGTTCTTGCAGGAACATTGTCAGGACGACTCCGATGTTTACAGCTAAGCATGCAGTTTGCTGCTGGTGCCTTTGGAGCCTTTAAAAGGTGGAGTTAGGCCCTTGGGGGCGTGACCTGGAGGGGGCTAAGAAACACTGGTCTTCCCTTCTCTCTTGTGCCTGCCAGCCATAAACCAAGCAGTTCCCTACCCTCCACGCGTTCCTGCCATGATGCGCTGCTTCACCACAGGCCCAGAAGCCGCAGAGCCAACTGGTCACGGACTAGAACTCCCAAGCTGTGAACCAAAATAGACCGCCTTCTTTAGCCCTCCATTTATCACGGGAACTTGTTATGGAAAGTTGACACCGATATGCAAATACACAGCCGTACAAAACGATCACAGTCCTTCTGCCACCCAGTTTTCACACCCACGATGACTAAAACTGACATGAGCGTGGCTCCTGCTAGGCACGACAGCTGCCAGGTTCCCTTTCCATAGTCACCGCGGAAGCCACCCTCTGCAGTGTCCAGTTACGAACGAGGAAACCGGGACACAGACTTGGGGTTGCTTAAGATCACACAGTCAAGAGGCGGTGAATTCAGCCCAGAGTCAGCTCCCTCCTCCAGAACTGTGCTTCCGACTCCCAAAGGTTAACCCTGGCATCTCAGAGCACAAGAGCTGTCCGTGCGCCTCACTCCTTGGCATGTCCATAGGTTCCCAGGAGTGCTCATTAAAAGGCACAGTCTCCCCCAGAGGGTTGAGACAAGCCCGAGCCTCTGTTGAGGCCCACAAAACTGGGTGGCAGCTCCACCAGGATTTGAACCCCTGGGTCAGACTCTAGCTTCCCACTCTGTTAAATGGGCACAATAACCACCTCAAGTATCTCTCTACCACATCACCGATGAGAGTAGTTCTTGACTTGGGCCATCTCTCTGTCCCTTGGAGACAAAATTGTGAACCTGAAGTCAGTCTTGAGCAAGGTTTTGAGAGGTGGGCAGATGTCTCCAGCAACACCTTTGAGGTCAGAGAGGCTCTGGCATCAGCGTTTTGTCAGGAGACCAAGCTTTTCTCTCTGTGAACCCCGTATCTCCACTATGGCTCCAGGAGCCAGAATTGCCTGTATAATATTGACTGAGACCTTTTCTAGCCAGGCACAGGATGTCCCAGTGGCCACCAAACATAATGGCAAAACCGAAACGCAGAGACCAAGAAATCTCATCCACTATGCAGAAAGCCCTTCAGACAGATGACGAAGATACCTTCTCTAACATGTCCCAAGGGAGCCACCCTGCTTCTTGAGTCAGGGAATAGGCAGCTGTCCCCTTGGTTACACCTGATCTGTACCCAGGCCTAGCTTTCTCCTAACAGAGACACGTATCTGCCTGGCCATCTGGTCTGGAAGCAACATCCTAAGAGAGGAGGAGGCTGGAGAGTGAACAGATTGAGTCCTGATGGGAATCACAGGGAAACAGGAAGTTGAGCCCTTGGGAAGCCCCTTAGTCCCTAGCTCCCCTTCACCCTTTTTCATAGTGCTGCATTAGTAAATTCCTCTTTGATGAAACATGTGAGACATCTGTGCAAGGGACCCCAGGGCCAAAGAGTCCAGCCTGCCCCTCTGACGCTGGCATCCCTCAGGCTGCTCCATGACGCTGGCCTCTCAGGCCCGTGCCATTCCATCATGCATGCACCTGCTGAGACCCGCTTCATTGCTGCAAAGACCAGAGCCCCCCACCCACCCCTGTGGCTCTGCCAAACCAAGCCCTTCCCCAGGCTTCTTAAGATGAAACCTCTGCACCTTCCTCTCCAGCCCACAGAATGCTGAGGGACCTCTCCCAGCTGCACTTCCCCTCTGCGTACCGTTACCAGGCAACCCCTCCATGAGCAGATTCTCACCTGGCAGGTCTAAGTAAGGAGGCTGGCTTTGCATTTCTCTTTCTTTCTTTCCTTCTTTCTTTCTTTCTTTCTTTTTTCCTTCCTTTCTCTGTTTTTCTTTTCTTTCTTTTTTTGCTTGTTTTGTGGGTTGATTTTTTTAAAAAGCAGAGTCTCATGTATGACAGGCTGGCCTCAAACTCACTGTGTATCAGAGGGTGGCCTTGAGGTTTGGGTCCATTTGCTTCTACCTCCCAAATGCTGGAACAAATGTGTGCTATCACCCTCAGCTTTTTGGGGGTAGGGGTGGGGCGCAGGGTCTATATAACTCAAGCTTTTCTCCAAGTCATGACCTGCCTTAGCCTCCCAAGTGCTGGAATGAGAGTTGTGTCACTGTGTTTAGCCCTGACTGAGCCTTTTCTAAGCTAACAAGTGAGGCCAATATGGCTGGGTGGTGGACTGTGTTCTGAGTAGCAGGGATATAGTTTAATCACATTCTCTCCATTCTACAGGAGGACAAACTGAGACCCACAGAGTAGAAGGAGGTTAGCTGCATTAAACTGAATCAGGTAAAGGAAAGCCTGATCCAATATCTATTGGAGAGTGTCTGAACCAAAGTTATGAGACACAAATGACCTTCCTGTTTGCTTTCGAGGAAGGAGGAGCCAGGAAAACTGGGTCTATGCCTTTTCCCTTTTTTGTCCCCTCAAGTCACAGTTTGGATTGCAAACACATGTCCTGGGTGCCTTGTAGAGGCACAGATAGTCATACATCCTCTTCACTCCCTCCCCCAGAGGAACATCCTTTGGTCTGGAAAATTCCCCTGGGAGCCACCTGTAAAAGCCATGCCTGGGTGCTGCTTGTACAATGGCTGGACTCCTCACCATGGACTACCTCCACCTAAGCTCAGCATCAAGAGCCCTGCATGGTCCTCATATCCCATCAACCCATCACCAGCCAGCCGTGAGGCTGAGACTCCCAGTCTTTGCTGACAGCCCTAGGACCCTGCAGCCCTTTCAGCGCTCCTGACCTTGGTGCCCCTTGAGGACTGTGCAGGTGTGGGGAGAAGCAAGCCAGACCTCCATCTTCAGGGATTCCTCCAATCCCAACAGTCTTAGCAGAAAGCCCTGACATTGAAAGGATGGAGACAACCCTCCAGCAAATCAGATACTTTGCATAAGAGTAGCTGCTTACTGCTACTTAGTTGCTCCTGAGGATAAACCTTTACTCTGCACTAGACAACTAACTCTCTTCCCTTTTTTTTGTCTAGAGCTTTGCTGTATTTATAGGCTATGCTGGCCAATGAGTCACAGAGATCCCTCTGTCTCTGCCTTCTCAGTGTTAGAATTACAGCTATGTGCTACTATTTCCAACATCTTACACGGATTCTGGGAATTGAACTGGGGTCTTCATGCTTAGTGGGGGAGGGGGGAGGAAGTGCTTTACTGACTGAGCTATTTGCAACTCTAGTTACTTAGCAACATGAAGCAAGTGAAGCACTCTACAGCTGTGTGTGGTGAGGCCTCCACAGTGAGCACTGGACCTGAACAATCTGCTGATGCTCATGTCAGGATTCCAGTCCTGGTACTCAGCGATTCAGATGATGCACACTGAATCAATGAATCTTTTTAGAGCAATGAACTCATGGTACCGCCTGGGCCAGTGTGGGCTCTAGCAATTAGAATACAGTTCCAAGTCTACAGACCCATCCAATCAAAAACTGCCCTGGTAAGGATCCCATAACCTTCTCCGACAGGTCCTCTAAGTGACTGTGATGTGTGCAGAGTCCTGAT